CCAGCCAAGAGGCTCTGAGCTGAAATGGGAGGCACTCCCTCCTGCTCCGCCCTCCTGGGCTGGTCCTCGTGGGAAGCTGTGAGGACGAGGTGAGCATCAGCAGAGCCTTCTGGCTTGGTGAGACCCCTGATGAGGCTAAGGAAGCTCTCTAGTCACAGTGGAATCAAAGGGACACAGAGGAGTAGGGGGAGCCGGCTTCTCCTGACCCCAGAGTCTCCTGTCTCCTCCACCTGAAAGGAGGAAAGGGAACCTGGGACACACCTGAGGCATGTCCCAGGGTGTCCCCACCTGCAGTGAGGGGGAGGGTGCAGTGGGTGTGAAGGTGACCGGGGAACAGACGGGGGTGTGCCTAGGGGGTGCCGAGGATAAGAACCAGGGCAGGTTTGGAAAGCTGCTGGAACAGTGTATGAAACGTCTGAGCCAGGGTCTGGCTTACGGATTCTGTCCCCAGGGCTAACTGTGAGGCCCTGCATTTGTCCCCAGGAGGAAGATGCAAGGAAATGGGTGAGGAAGGCTCTGGTGGAGTGCCAACCCCTGGGAATGCTAAGTTGTGAGGTGAGGGGAGCGTGAGGTTAGTGAGGAGAGTCCATGTAAAGATGTAGAGACAGCTACGGGCTCTCAGAGCCCACAGGGAAAAAAAGCAGAGCACACACACTGGTTCTCTGTCAGAGAGAAATTGGCATGTAAATAAAAGCTCATATATACTTCCAGGAACCACAGGTCCATTACGCCTGCTTGCTTGCTGCCAACCAGACCCTCACTGCATTCTGTTCTATTATATCTCTCCTGAGGATGATGGACCACACATGAGCTACTGCCCTTGATGGTGCCCTCTAAGCCTCAACTGCCCCACCTGCCGAAGAGGAAAACAGTGCCTCACCCACACACCTCTCCTGGTTGTTGTAAGATAACAATGACAATAACAGCCCATCTTCGTATAGTGCTTACACATTGTTCCATATTACACTATGTACCTAGTGTTATATATTACATAAACATTATACATATACTAACTCACTTAATCCTCAAAACAGCTCTGTGAAATTGGTACTCTTACTACCCCCCACCTGACAGAGAAGGAAACCGGTGAGATTTCAGAACTTGTTCAATGTCAGCCAGGGGGGGTGAGTGGCAGAGGTGGGATGTGAACCCCAAAATCTGGCCTGAGTCCATGCTCCCAACCTCTTTGCTGTATGACATGCTGTGCATTTTATTTTTTTAAAATATATTTTATTGATATTTTACAGAGCGGAAGGGAGAGGGATAGAGAGTTAGAAACATCGATGAGAGAGAAACATCAACCAGCTGCCTCCTGCACACCTCCTACTGGGGATGTGCCCGCAACCAAGGTACATGCCCTTGACCGGAATCGAACCTGGGACCTTTCAGTCCGCAGGCCGACGCTCTATCCACTGAGCCAAACTGGTTTGGCATGCTGTGCATTTTAAATGAACGGTGCATGGTCATTCCTGTTAGAACTACTCCCATTAGGGAGGGAAGCAGAGGGAGAGGACTGCACCTCCAGCCTTAGAACTGGCCCAGCTCCCCGGGGCTGGGCTTCCCAGGGAGGGGGAGGAATGGCAGGTCTCCGGCCCTCCCAGTGCAGGGCTGTCTTCCTATGCTCTTTTTCGAAGCAAAGTGTCTCTGCTGCCAAGAGCGGGTTTGTCCGTCTCTTGGAGACAGCGGTTGTCAAGCCCAGAACAGCAAGCATGTCAAAAATAGCAGCGCCAGCAGACTGCGTGGCTGCAATTTCCTTTTGAAATGTCGGCTTCGCTCTCGCCAAAAGAGCCAGGGTCTGTCTATGCTCCCTGCAGCCGGCAGCGGAGGCTGCTGAAGGTTCCAAGACGTTTGCTAGGGGCCGGCGAAGAGTGTCTACTGGGGAAACCCTCTACACAGTAACCATGATGAGCTTGGAGTTGTGTTTAAAAGTGTTGTTGTTGTTATAAACCCCACCAAGGGTAGCCCCAGATAGGTGAAGTGGTAGCCACAGTGAGACCAGTATTGATGGTACTGGCTATAGTGAAGGCCCCTTTTCTCTTCTGTTCTGGAAAGAAGGGAGTCACTGTTCAGTTTGGATCAGTCACTGCTAGGTTTAAACCACTCCCCTCAGGGTCCCAAGGAGATGAGGATCAGGAGGGATGGAGAGGCAGGGTGGATGCCTTTCTCTGGGAGTTCAGAGCTAATGGGCCTGACACTCCCCAACCCCACAGAGTCCTTGAGTCCAGAGGGGGAGTGGTTCATGGTGAGGCAGGGCAACATGAGAACCAAGAGCCCATCTGACTATTCCCGTGGCCTGATCCGGGACGCTCCGTCTCCGCTAAGCCCAAGCTCCAGGCCTGAGCATCTGTGCAACCTGGGGCGGGCGGCGGGTGTAAGTGGGATGGAGGGAGGCAATCCTACAGCTTAAAGAATGCATTTCTTTTCCTCCCCTAAGAGATCTTGACAAGCTAGAGTGAGACCACACTTTGCTTCCTGGGGCAACAACACGCAGTCAAAACCAATCAGAGCCGGACACCAGTTCCAGCCAGACTGTCCCGGGAGGACAAAATTCTCTACTTGGCATTTACATGCAGGTGCCGGTGACAGAAATACTGCCAAGAGCCAGGGCTCAGCCAGTGGAAGGAGGAAAGATAAGCAGAGGACTAGAAGGTGTCATGTGAGGAAAAGCACCAAGGGGAGGAAAGCAGGGATTCGTGAGCGAAAGGCAAGTAAGAGCCAGAGAGAACTGTCTGCAGGAAGGCGGCTACCCCACTTCTGTGTGCAGGCAGCACCCCACTGCGGGACCCCACCCGGGGGCTGTGGAAGGGAATGAGTGCCGCAGGGAAAGGGAGGAGGCTGGGGAGTACAGTCCTGACTTCTGTGCAATTTCTTCAGGAAGTCTGTGTTCACAGGTGCAGAGCTTAGGCAGGGTTTTGGTTTGTTTGTGGAGGTTTTGTTGTTTTTATTTTTGTTTTGCCAGCAAAGTATAAATCCCTTGGGCAAATTCACTGCCTTAGTCCCATGTAATAAATAATGTGCAACATACTTATTGTAGTTTAATGATGCTAATTATGCTCTGCATCTACCAAAAGCAGTTTGACCTATCATTAGAGCAAAAACAAACAAACACATATGCAAATCCCACCATGGTTTGATTGTATTAAAAAAAAAAATCAGTCCTTGGCACTGTACATGAGGAGCAAGGAGCAACTGTATGGAAGGATCTAAAGTGTCCCCCTGCGGCAGAAGGGAAAAACTGTTATTCCATCCTGGATACTCAGTCTGGTCCATCTTTAAAAATGCTGCTCTTCTAGATTTAGGAATCCAAGCCATTCCCCCAGCCACGCTGTGACTCTCCCAGGTATTAGCTTTGTCACTTTTTTTTTCCCCACAATCAATGATTTTTTCTTTTAATTTATAGAGTTGTACAACTCTTGCCACAATCCTGATTTAAAAAACCTCCAGTCGCCCTAGATCAGCGGTTCTCAACCTGTGGGTCGCGACCCCTTTGGCGGTCAATGACCCTTTCACAGGGGTCACCTAAGACCATCCTGCATATCAGATATTTACATTACAATTCATAACAGTAGCAACGTTACAGTTATGAAGTAGCAATGAAAATAATTCTATGGTTGGGTCACAACATGAAGAACTGTATTTAAAGGGCCAGAAGGTTGAGAACCACTGCCCTAGATGGTTTGGCTCAGTGGATAGAGCATCAGCCTCTAGACTGAAGGGTCCCAGGTTCCATTCCGGTCAAGGGCACATGGCCAAGTTGCGGGCTCCATCCCCAGTAGGGGGCATGCAGGAGGCAGTCTATTAATGATTCTCATCATTGAGGTTTCTATCTCTCTCTCCCTCTCCCTTCCTCTCTGAATTCAATAAATATATATTTTTAAAAAATAGAAAACCTCCAATCCCACCCCCAAAGTCCCCCCATGTCCCGCTGCAGGTGGGACTTACCCTATGCTCTCCGACCTCCAGCAGGAGAGTGCAGAGCTCTCTCACAGACTGGTTGGGGAATCTTAATTCAGCTGGTCAAGGAGAGGCCCCTGTACCTCGCACCACTGGGATTCATGTCCTAGCTTCTGTCCTGCCTTCAGTGCACAAGAGACTGCTGGGTACTGTGAGAACCTTCCAGTGAACTAAGGCAGTTAGAGGGTCACCCCTGAGTTAAGGCTCTTTCTAGGCTAATTCCCATCTTACACCTTCCTAAGTCATCTTTTCTCTGTGTATTTTACTATTTCTACTGTTCCTTTGTCTTAAACATCTCTGTAAGCTTCTCAAGGTTGAGGGACCCTAAGGTGAATATATTTAGTGCAATATGGCAGAGTATTTTATCAGACACTTATAAGATCCTCTCTCTTTCTCTCTGTCTCTCTGTCTTTGTCTCTCTCTCTCTCTCTCTTCCTTGCAGGTTGAGGAAATTCTGGGAGACACCTTTCTGACCCCACCGCAATCTCATCTTGCTTCATAAGTTCAGGACTGCCCTCCACAGAGGTGAGCAGGGTAGGAAAAGGTGGTTTACTGAGATGCCAGGGAAAAGGTCTCCTCCAGCTGGAAAACAACAGTCTCAGCAAACACAGCTAGTCCTAGAGTCCAAAGTGTGAGCTCCACAGAAACCCCAAAGGGACTCCCAGCCACCAAAAAGGTGAAGAGGGGGAGAAAGATAGACAAGATACACACAGAGGGAAGAAGAGATTAAAACAACACAGGGGAAATACGAGAAGAAAAAAACGCAGAGCGAGAATGAAAGGAAGGGAAAATGCAGAGAAAAGGAGATGATTGGGAAGGGCGGGGCACAGCAGCAGCAGGGAAAGAGAAACAGAGAAGAAACAAAAGCAGGTGGAATAAAATACATACACAGACTGAGAGCGAGGTGCTGCTGAGGCTGTGGAAATCCAAACCCTGATTTTGCCCAAATGCATTCCCTGGCACCCTCTCTCTGCCCCTCCCCACCCGGATTCTAATTTGGCCTGAGGGACTGAGCCCATGCAACATTCCCCAACAGTAGAACCTACCTCAGATGCACAGACGGCCAGCTGCACCTTCCTCACATCCTGGGGTGGTCAGGCGGGAGGACTAGCCTGCGTCTCTGTGGAGCCTAGCAGGTCCAGGACAGCCTCCAGGAGCTTCTGCGGGCCGAGTCCTGGCCTGTGCCGGCAGCTGTGAGAGCGCAGCCCAGCTGTCACAGCAACATGGGGTGCTGTTCTCTTGGTGCTCAGAGCACAAATCCACACAGAGGCCCAGTCAGAGAGGGATCACTTGGCAAAATCCTCCACAGAAACTAGGGCAGGTCACAGCCTCTCGGTTTTTCTTCGACATCTTAAGAAGAGCCACCTATGAAGTTCCTCCCAGGAGCTAGACTGTTCCCTGGTGGGGAAGGAATATTGCTTCCCTCCATCGCTCAGAGCTGGGAGGAGCCTCTCTCCTAGGAGATGGAGACTTCCTGGTGCTAGGATGGACTGAAACCACTAGGACTTCTCAAGGCCCAGGTGGCTGCCTGAGGATCAAGTCCCCTGCAACGCTCCCCTTGTCATTTGAAACAGATCGTATTGACATTGGTTTAACTGGCAGTTACTTAGGATTCAAGTTTCTTTGAAGAATCAGAGGTGAAATGAGGCAGCTTCCATGTCTGGGCGGGGAAACCGGGAAGAAAGGTCCAGGCGGAAGTTGTAGGGACCTGCTTTTTCAAAGGTCACACATCCCTGTCCTGGCGCTCCCAGTCCCTGGCCCAGTGTGGGGGAGGTGCTCCCACTTCAGAAGCTGGGGATATGTAGTCTCCCGGTCTCCCTTGCTGCCCAAATCAGAAAATAGAGAGAACAGTCTGGAAGGTTGCTACGGCAACCAGAGTCCCTGGAGAGCCCAGTGCTCCACAAACCCTTTACCTCCGGCCATGCTTGGACTTGGAGAAGAAATTTATCAGGAATGGTGATGAAGGTGATCACATACACACATGTGGAGATACACGCCTGCATGGTCCAACATTTGCCCTCAGCTGGGCCCTTCTCCTTTCCGCAAATACCCAGGAGAAACTGAAGAGATTTGGAAAAGTAGCACTTCATGGCCTCAGAGTAGGTTTCTGAATCATGAACTCCTCTATCTCCCACTGTATTTCAGGTTCGGAGAAGCTGAGCTCCAATCAAAGTGGCCTCCAGTCCTAAGGATCACAGTGAACCTGCCTAAAGAGCACCCTCCTTTCAATGAAGGGTAAGAAGAAAGACTGCAGCCCAGCTCAAGAGGCTAAGAAGGGATTTAAGGAGCTCATGGTCCAGAATGGCCTATTCTTGGGCTTTGGATCCAAGGCAGAAACTCTGGGGGGAGGCCTGGCCTACGGGAGGTGGGAGACAGGGTAATGAACTAAAAGTCAAGTCCATTACTAAAATTCACACATTTGCATAGAATCACCCCCGGCTTCCCAGATGAGTTCATTGAACGTTCCCCATGAGGTAGGGAGGGGAAGACATTAATGTTCCCATGTAATGGGTGGGGAAACTGAGGCATTAAGAGGATGGTGCCAGTTACCCTGTAAAGCTGTGGCAAAATCCAGACTGAGATCTGGCACTCACAGAGCCGTAGTATCTCAAGAAAACCCTCAAAAGGCCACCCCTCCTAAGTTGCTCTTCAAGAAAATAATTTAGAAAAAAAAATCTCATCCAAGAGTCTTAAAGCATAGATATAAAATTAAAAATATGTTAACAGTCCTTTTGGTTTCTGAACTGTACCCAAAAGAGCTCAGAACAGTACATCACAGTTTATCAAGGCAACAAACAAATGACAGTGTTACCAGGAGGGGAGTGAGGGGAAGTGGGCAGTGTGATGGAAGGCAGGGATTTCACGATGGAAGGAGATGGCTTAGTCCAGGTGGTGGTGACACCACCAAGTTACCTTACCGGTTAGAGCAAGTCGGCTGCAGCTCGGAGGGGCAGAGCAGGCGAGTGTTTGCTTGACTCAGCCAAAAACCTCTAGTAGTGTGGTTGTCAGCTAAGACATAAAGCTTCCTCCTTACTCTAAACCAGCTATTCCATTCCCAACAAGACGGGAAGACACCCACACTAGCATCCAATGTGTGCTTTACCTGTCTGCAGGTCTAAGCTGGAGTTTGTTTTAGAAAGCCTTCAACTGTTCTAAATCAAATTCTCCAGAAGAAGGGTGGAGGGCTAGAGAGGTTGGGGTAAGCGGGGGAGAGAAACTTGCCATCTGTAACAAGAGTCCACTGCCCCTCTGAGATGACAACATCTGTTTAAGTGCCACCTCTCTTCAGATGACATGGACATGCCAGCTGCCTGACTCTATTCGGCCATTTCTCCTGGCTCTGTGGTTGCCTTTTGCTAGTCCCTCTGCACAGGAAGGCACGTGCACACAGAGCATTTGGCTCTGAGAAAGAACCTTCCTGGAAGTGAGAGAGAGTCAGGGGCTCAGAGTCGGGGGCACTAAATGTAGACCAAAGCCTGGTATCTACTGTGCCAGAACACACCTGGGAGAAAACATCGGCCTCTTTGGTCTGGGACTCACACTAACGTCCTCCAAATGGCCAAGTTTAATTGCAGTTTCTCTAATTCCACTTGAGGCTGTGCATCTAACGGGTCTTCTGCAGGATGACCAGCAGGTGTTACAGGGCCCTGGAATAAAACAGCAAGATGAGTCCTGTCTCTGTCCTCCAGCTTCTGCCAGTTACTGCCTGGCCAGAAGTTAAGACAGGTGCATGCCCCAAAGCAAAGGGCACTGAGGCGAGAAACGAGAGCCAGGAATAACCTGGTTTCCATCCTATTGGCATCTCTGTACCTATAGCTGTTAGAAGTCTCAGACATGAAAAAACCAGAATCTTAAAGGAAAGTCAGACAGAAATCTCATCCACATAACAGAAGATGGCATGAATGGGTGGCACCATTAGAATTTCAAAAATATCACTTAGATGGCTAAAACTTGAATGCTGCAGGGGCCCAAGTAACAAGGTTGACAGTCCAGGTGTTTGGTCCTGGATGCCATGCACTAGGGTAAGGGAATGAGTCAGGGAGCCAACCGGAGCTCAGGTGAGAGTCATGGAAAACGAGAAGGCAGCCTAAGAAATTATTTGCTCAGTGTCACCCTTCTCGTGTAGAACCTGCCTGCATCAGTCAAACCTCAGTGAGCATCCTTTTCTCTGCATACATCCGATGTGGAGTGGGAAGGTAGCTGGGTCTCCGCTCCTGGGCGGCCTCAGAGAATTCAGGCTTGCCAAGTCCACCGTCGGCCACCTTCAAGTCCGGTGCAGGCTGCCCACACGTGACGTGGGTGTACTGGCCTTGCTCCTCCTGCTCCGTCTCCCGGTGGTAGAAGTAGTTGAAGTTGGAGACAATGACCGGCACTGGTAGGGCGATGGTGAGGACCCCAGCGATGGCACAGAGTGAGCCCACGATCTTGCCTCCAACGGTCATGGGGTACATGTCCCCATAACCTACAGTGGTCATTGTAACCACTGCCCACCAGAAGGCATCTGGGATGCTGGGAAAGAGCGAATCATCATCATCAGCCTCTGCGAAGTAGACGGCGCTGGAGAAGAGGATGACTCCGATGAAGAGGAAGAAGATGAGCAGGCCCAGCTCCCGCATGGAGGCCTGCAGGGTCTTGCCCAGGATCTGCAGCCCCTTGGAGTGGCGGGAGAGTTTGAAGATGCGGAACACCCGCACCAGACGGATCACTCGGAGGATGGCCAGGGACATGGCCTGCTGCCCGTTCTGGCCACCCCCTCCGTTGGCTGACTGCTGCTCCTGTTGCTGCACCAGCTCCGTGCCCAAGGTGATGAAGTAGGGGAAGATGGCCACCAAGTCGATGATGTTCATGATGTTGCGGAAGAAGGCTGGCTTGCTGGGGCAGGCTGAGAAACGCACCAGGAGCTCAAACGTGAACCAAACGATGCACAGGGTCTCCACCAGGAAGAAGGGGTCGGTAAAGAAGGAGCCCCCCAGAGTACTTAGTGAGGAGGGGCCCACTCCCCCAGGGGTGATGCCAGGATGAAAGGTATAGGCATCGTCTTCATCCTCTTCTTCCTCCTGACTCCCCCTGGAAATTGAGGAGACTCTGCTCACGCCACCACCATTGCTTCCACCTCGACCATCTGCACGGAACTGGGGCAAAGTCTCCAGGCAAAAGATGACGATGGAGATGAGGATGACCAACACCGAGACGATGGCGATGCCCCTGGCGGGCCCCGAGCTCTCCGGGTACTCGAAGAGCAGCCACACCTGGCGCTGGAAGGGCTGGGAGGGCAGAGGCTTCTCGTCCTCGCCGCCCTCGGGAAGGCAGCCCTCGTCCTCCCGGAAGGCGGCCAGGGCCTCGTCCCCCAGCTGGTAGAAGCGGATCTCCTCCAGGAAGATGTCCAGGGGCACGTTGACCGGCCTCCGCAGCCGGCCCCCCGACTGGTAGTAGTAGAGGATGGCGTCGAAGCTGGGCCGGTTGCGGTCGAAGAAGTACTCGTTCCTCAGGGGGTCGAAGAAGCGGACGCGGCGGCCAGGGTCTCCCAGCAGCGTGTCGGGAAACAGCGACAGGGTGCGCAGTTGAGTCTCGAAGCGCAGCCCGGAGATGTTGATCACCAGCCGCTCGCTGCTACAGCAGCCCTCGCCCGCGCCAGCCTCCGGGATCTCCCGCAT